GCTCACGTGTGTCGTAGATTGTGAGGACGGCTCAGGATAGGACAAGGTTCAGATTTGTTGTTCACAGGGTCACTTTGAGTCATAGTTGACGACACCCAACAACAACAACAAAGAGTATTGATTATGGCATTTTTTTTAACAAATCCATAATTTTATTTGCTTTTCAATAAGTTTAAATCCTCGAGGGATACAACATTACACGGATTCTGTGTCCGATGATGGCCTTAGCAGGAAGGTTGCTCCGAAATTTGGCCCGAACCATGCCACTGTTTCCGTGGGCTCGAGTTACCTTTCCCCAGATTACTTTGGTTTTATTGGGTTTGCCACCAGGAGTCACTGTATTGTTTTTTTGCTTTGTAAACATAAGCACATCTCTTGCCTAAATAGAATTCTGTTTCATCTCGGGCATAAACGCCTTCAGTTTTAAGAAGAGCTGTGTGCTCCCTCTGCTTCTGGAGACCTCGTTTATAGCCAGCAAAAGTGGCTTTGCACCAAAGCCTCCCAGCCATCTTTGTGGTTCAGAAGTCCTGCTTCCAGGACTGGCTCCAAGGTGGTGGAAAAAGGAGCGGTGACTATGACATTTTTACACAAAGCCAGCAAACTGGGTATTAAAATTGTTAGCAGAAAAGAAGATTGATAAGAGGAACTACATTTAAATTAGGAAGTTCTCTTCATTAAAAGCCTTCATAAAGAGAGTAGGAAAGACACTGTGGAATGAAGATATGATCAGACATTGTGTGTATTATAATTAAAATATAGAGCGAGATATGCTTGCTTACTTGATTGAGGAAAGCTAAGGAAAGGTTTGCACATAGAAACAATAATGGATGGTTGACAGGGGTGGGTAGAGAGATATGAAGAAGCAGAAATTGGATGAATGGGTAAGGTGAAGGGAAAAGCAAGGTACAGGGAGAAATTGATGAGACATTGCAATTGTAATAAATGTACTAAAACAAAATATATAAAAATGAGTGGATGGAAACCTATAACAAAGAAAGGGTGTGGGAAAATATATGTAATCAACTGGTCATAAACAAAATATGCACACAACTCCTAAAAATAAATCTGAGACAGAATAAAAAATTTTTTAAATGGGCAAAAGTGATGTCTATTATTCCATTAAAAAAAGTATCCAAGTGCCTAATTTGCACATTAGGAAAGATAAGTTTCTTAGAACAAAGAAATAGTGGTAAGATCAAAGCACTTACTAAAAAAAATTGTTAAATTTAAAGAGCATAATAGTTCTACAATTTAATAAAATGGGGAACCCATAATTCTCACTTATTTCTGGTGGGATTGTAGACTTGGCATGATTTTATAAAATCTGCAGTGTATTTGTATGTCTGCTGTAACACTACTAAATTTGAGATGTGATATTTTGCCTTACATATAAATTTAGTAGTCTAGAGAATAATAGTTAACCTTTTAATCATATGTCTCTAGTAACAGACTCTGAATCATAAATGAATAAAGATTTCAGCTGTTTGGGCTTGGAATTGCATGTTGGTGGACTAGCTTTTTAGGTTGTTAGTCACGTCACTCACTTAGTGACAAATCCAGCAATCTCCATGTGTCACTGCGAGCTTAAATCTAGTTAGAGACACTGTTTTTGCTGCCTGCCTCTGTGACCTCATTGCTCTGTCCCTCTGCTTCAGTCACTGTGGTCAGCCACCACACGGCCTTGTCATTTCACTAGCCCACCAAGCTTGTTTCTCCCTCTCTGCTTTTGCCGATGCCTCTGCTCACATCTGCAGCTCCCCATACCCTCTTTGCTTCCTTCGGGTTACTGTATTTGTGCCTCTGTTCCTGCATTAGCTGAGAAATGTGTTCTCTGACTTCCTTTCCAGTGATAATCATTACCATCTTCTTTACGTAACCTATTAATTTTTCTTTTTGTAACTGTCATCACTACCTGTTATTGTGTGTTTTTTTTTTTTAAATTTCTCTGCAAATATAAGCTCTGTAAGCATAGATTTTCTGGCTATATTGCCAGGACCTATGCCTATGAAAGGGAGCTCTGGTGGCTTTATGGTAAAGAGTTGCACCACCAACCTAGAGGCATGCAGAATGAATCACCTAGTTGCTTCACAGTAGGAAGATAGATAGCTCCATCTGAGGGATTTACTACCTTTGAAAATCCACTGGAGGGTCAGCTATCACCCACTTCTAACTTGATATTACATGACAACAGCATAACTATAAGGAATGCTGATGAGGTATTAGCTAAATCTTTCCAGTTAGAAGAGTTGAATTAGAGAATTAATGTGACAATGAACGTAATCAGTAGTAAAATTATGTCTCTGTGACTCTGTCCTCAGTAAACTCTGCAGAATGAATTTCTTTTTCACCTTTGCTCTGTAGGGATTGGTGGCAAATTATAAATAAATACTGATATTAAACTGGTGGCCTATAGGTAAGGAGCTGTGCTGCCTCCCTTAAGGTGTGCAGTTCAGATTTACCTGCAGGAGAAAGATGAGCAGTCTCCTCCAGGGTGATTTAATGCCTCTGAAATCCCCTGGAGGGCTAGTTATGGATCAGTTTTGACTCAGTGATCCTGAGAAACAATAATATTATACCACAGAGTTATCAACCTTTTAATATCCTAACAAGAGGGCAAATCAGAAAGGAGCAAAATTCAGAGTGCAATGTGGTGGTGGTTGTATACTACCAAGTTGGAACCAACACAGGAGGAGACTCTCTACTAGAGCTCCCTACAGAATTTAATAGTGTTTAACCTTTGTCTTTTATGAAATAAGTAAAGGCTAAAAATGTAGTGATTTTTTAAAAAGGCAATCCAACAGACTTTGGAAATGATCAGAGAATATCATTAATATCACATGCAATTAAAATCTTTGCTGAAAATTGTTCCAAAATGGCTGAAACTACATTGACCAAGAACTTCCAGAGATTTCAGCTGGTTTCAGAAGAGGCCATGGCATGAGAGTCACCATTGCTGATATCAGATAGGTTTTGACTGAAAGTTTTGTGATGCATAGGCACTTGACAGTGTGGATCATAACAAGTTATTGCATTTATGCAAAGCCTGTATATAGACCAAGAAGCAGCAGTCTGAACAGAGGCATGCTAGATGGTTTGAAATCAGGAAGGGTGTGCATCAGGGTTGTAGTCTTTCTCCATACTTATTCAGTCCATATGCTGAGCACCTACTTTTTTTTTTTAAATAAAATTTTCTTTTATATTGGTTTACTTAAAACATTGGTATATATTGTTTTCACACTGGATCTTTCCCATTTCCTTTACTGACCCCTCCCTCTACCCATCAAATTGTGCAGCCCTATGATTACCTCCTACCCTCCTCACCCCTCAGCTCCTATCCTCCCCCCCTTAATCCTTATGCACATTTTACTAGTTAGCTTTATTTTTCTATAATAATGGTCTTTTTTTTATACTAATGGTCTTATCCAGGATTTGTCCTTAAGGGACTGAGTTAGTTCACTTAGCAGAATGCTCTCCAGTCCCTCCCAAGTTAGTTAGTGATTTTCAAAATCATTGCTCCTGCATTCCATCATGTGACTGTACCATAATTTTTCAGTCTGTCTGATTGTGACTGGACATTTGCGCTGTTTCCATGTTCTTGCAATGGTGAATAATGCTCCTTTGAACATTGGTGTACAAATCTCTGTTTGTGCCTCAGTTCTGATTTTCTCAGGGTATATTCCAAGCAATGGAATTTCTTTGTTAAGCTTTTTGAGGAAATGCTAAACTGCCTTCCAGAGTGGTTGTATGTACCATTTTACAATCCCACTAATAGTATATAAGAATTCCTCCCTCTCCACATCCCCTCCAGCATACTTGCTGTCCTGTTAAACCTTGCCATTCATACTGGGGTGAGATGGTACATCATTGAGGTTTTGGTTTGCATCTCTCTTACTGCCAGTGATTTTGAGCATTTCTCCATGTGTCTTTTGGCCATTCGAATATCTTCCTCTATGAATAGTCTTTCTGTGACTTAGCCCATTTTGTAATTGAGCAAATAATCTGAGAATCTGGACTAGAAGGCAACATTAGGATTGGAGAAAGACTCATCAACAACCTGTTCTGTGCAGATGACATAACATTGCTTGCAGAAAGTGAAGAGGACTTGAAACACTTGCTACAAAAATCAAAGACTACAACCTTCAATATGGATTATAGACATCAAGAAAACAAAACTCACCATTGGAACAGTGTTTAACATCATGATAGAAGGAGGAAAGATTGAAGTTGTGAGTAATTTTACTTGGGTCCACAGCCAACACCCAAAGTGATAGCAGTCAAGAAATTGAAAGATACACTGCATTGGGGAAAATATGCTGTCTAAGATCTCTTGAAAGTGCTAATAAGCCAGATTGTCACTTTAAAGACTAAGGTGAACCTGACTCAGGCTCTGGTATTTTCAGTTGCTTCTTGTGCATCTGAATTCTGGACAGTGAGCATGGATGACAGAAGAGTCAGCAGTTTCTTTGAATTGTGGTGCTGGAGAAGAGTGCTAAATATCCCATACACCACCAAAAGAACAAACAAGTCTGTCTCAGAGTAAGTCCAACCAGGATGCTCTGTAGAAGCAAAGATGGTGAAACTTCGTCTCACATACTTTGAACATGTTGTCACGCAGGGCCAGCCAGTCTTTGGAAAAAGACGTCAGTGTGGGAAAGGTGGGAGGGTTGGCAAAAGAGAGGAATATCCTCAACAGGGTGGATTGGCACAGATTTTGTAACAGTAGGCTTGAGCGTATCAGAGCTGTAAGGATGGCACAGGATAGGGCAGGGTTCAGATCTGCTGTTCACAGGGTCAGTAGGAGTTGTGGTCAACTCAATGGCATCTAACAACAAACTAATATTCATTCCAGATATATTGTTTCTTTTTCTCTGTTAATTTAAAATAGTGACTTTGCAAGCATCAGATAAAGTTGTAGATTTATCTTAGTGTGTTTTTTTTTCTTTTTATAGCTATTCTCCTTCCCTACCTTTTAATTTTTTTTATGTTTTGTTTTTTTTAAGAATCCAACCCAAGTTGGAACAGCTCTTCAGGTTTTCTATAATCTGGGAACTTTGAAGGATGTCATTACCAGTGTCGTGGAAGGATACTGTGCTACCATAGAAGAAAATATCAACAGTGCATTAGACATCAAAGTTTTGACTCAGCCTTCCCAGTCAGCTGTGAGAGGTATGGATATGATTTATATTTAGCATCTTTGTTTATTTATAACTAAGAAATCCTTTGAATAGTATGTAGCACTCAAGTTTCAAAGCAGTCTAATGACTCATTTTTTAGTAGAGAGAAAATGAGGGAAGAAATTATATTTCAGAATTTATTTTTAACTTTTCCTCTAATCAGTCATTTCAACTGGCCAATTGCTATATTCATAACTTCAAGTTAAAAACAAAATCTTAACTGTGACATCATTTTGTTGAGAGGAAACAGATGCAAAAAAGCTAAGGAATATTGTTTTCTTCCTAAAATCCTTATCTCCACATACTTCTTATTGAAATAGAAAATTATTTTTTATAAGGAAGCACAATTTCTACCTTAGCCTGCTGGGCTTTTCCTTGTTCTAATTTTGTAATGAGGAGCAATATAATTGGTAGTGTAGAGATACGACTATGGGACCGTTATAACCAAGGTATAATCATTGTTAGCTGCCATAGAGTCGGCCCCCAGTTCATGGTGACCATTGCAAAATGATATTGGACCTTGGTGATCCATTGGGCCTTTATTGACTGATAATTTTAGAAGTAATAGGGGTTTGCTTTTCTTTTAGTCTTATTTTAGGACTACCTGCTGAAACATGTTCACATGGTAACAACACATAGTGACCACACTTTAGATACATTGATTGAATCCTGTGTTTGGAAGGGAAGAATTCTACCAGTGAATACTCTAGAGAGTCTCTAAACTCCTGCCCTCAGGTCAATTCAGACTCAGCAACTCTCAATTGTATTTCCAAGGCTGTAAATCTTTACAGGAGGAGACTGCCTCTCTTTCTTCTCTGGAGCAATTAGAGATTCAAACCTCTGACATTCAGGTTTCTAGCTCAGCACATAACACACTATGACACCAGAGCTCTTGCCAGTAAAATTATAGCAAAGTTTAAAGAAAACAACTTCAAGGTGGAGAGTTGTAGCCTTAGGAGAATAATGTCAGCCCTTTTCCTGACAAGCCATAATTGGTGTTGGCATTCAGATAGCCAGGCATGACTTAGCAGCCACCTTATGTGTTATGAAAAAGGACATTATATGATTTGGATGTTATGTGAACAGTGTATTATATATAGGCAGAGTTTGATTCATGAATGAGTTCCTTTTCTAAGTTTGTCTTTAAAATTGAATTTGTACATAAGTCAGACTATTAGGTATAATTTATATCTACCATTAGTCAAATGTTTATCTTAGTATATAGTGTACATTTTTATACTTAAAAAAATTAAGAAGCACTTCAGATAGAATTGTTGTTGTTATTGTTATGTGCTGTCAAGTCACCTGCAACTCATAGCGACCCTACGTACAACAGCCCTAAACCTTGCTCTAACTTATGCCAATCTTATTGTCTCTTAACACTCTTAGTCCCAATACCCCAGCCACTTAATCCATCTCATTGAGGGTCTTCCTCTCTTATGCTGTCCTTCCCAAGCATGATGTCCCTCTCCAAGGATTGGTCCCTCTTTGTAACATGTCCAAACTAGGTCAGACGAAGCTTCAGAATCCAGGCAGAATACCTTGTTTATTTAATTTTGCTTTACTGCACTCAAAGATACTGCATTTTTTACAACTGAACATTTCTGGCACCCTGCATTGATCATGTCTGTCAGCACCACTGACATATGTTAAGTTCCTATTTCTGCATACATTTCACAATTCTCAGACCACTGCGTATAAAGAAATAGAAGTGTGTGTGTGTATAAATTTTATATATATATATATCCTTTCTTTTTTTACTAAGTCTTTATGGTTTTCTAAAAGTTTATAAATTTTCCTTGAGATTAATCTGTATTGTCTCCCCAAGGTATACATTCGTTTTATCTTGATAAAAATAAGGAATGTTTCACACACTTGCTTGTCTTCCTTGCATGGGCCATCCGAATCTTCTCTTTATTGTTCCTGTTTTAGCATACATGCTGCCTATCCTTGTGTTGTTCCAAACATTTGTATAATGGTACTGCACACTTAAGGAGCTATGGCCCAGGGCTAAGGAACAGTGTTGCCAGCATGAAGGCATGCGCTTCAAGTCCACCAGCTGCTCTGCGGGAGAAAGATGGACAGTCTCCTGCCGTGCAGTCATTCCACCTCTAAAAACCTGCTGGATTGTCATTTATGAGTCAGTTCTGAGTCAGTGGCACATAACAACAACATATATACTTGTATTTTCAGTATCATGGTTTTTATGGGGATTGGAATCACAGAAAGATTTGCTGGTGTATTTTGTCAGAACAGACATTATTACGTAATTCACAGCCATATGGGATACTTCTCCATGGACAAAAAGATCCAGAGATTATGAACTTTATTCACTTACTTGCTACAACTTTTTCTTATTTCTTGCCTGACTTCTTCCTTCTGTCCTGTTAACATGGATGAACTGAACTTTGTACAAAACAAACTATACTTTTTACCTAGTAGATCCTGTCACACAAAGACATTGTTTCAGCAAATCCTCTACCCATCACACTAATTTTTCTTCTCTACTGTTTCTTTTCTATTATATGTAATCTTGCTATTGTACTGTCTGCATAAAATCAACCAAACAAATCAATTTTTAATCAATTTCCTTTTTTCAGCTTTACCATCCCACTTTATTTCTTCAATCTATATAAAAATTCTCCAAATTAAACTTTATACTTAATGTCTCCTATGTTGTTTCCTATTTTCTATTTAACGCACTATAGTGCTAGAGAATATGTGAATTGGCCTGTGTAAATAGGGTATTGTTCATGTGAAAAATATTTGCAGCCAGTTACTGTTATTACATTTGTATTTCTTCATAAACGTGATTCCAAAGAACATTGAATATGGGAAACTCATAAATAAACTATGCTTTACAAAGAGAGATAAAAGAATCTTCCTTAGATTTTGAAGGGATTTTTTTAAAGATTAGCTTTAGCTTCTGAATAGAACTGTATTAAGACTAGAATAGACAGAGGGCTTTTAAAAGAAATTGCCAAAGGAAATTTCACTCCCAGTCTTTCCAAGCAATTATTCTCTGAAAGTTTGATCTAATGTTTAAATTTCCAGGAGCAGTTTAATCTTATTCTCTCTTGTGTTGTCAAGAATAGGGAGAAGAAATGAAAGCAATTATTCACATGCTGTCAATCCTAATGTATGCTTCTTTTGTCAAAAGAATAAAGAGTTTTAAAGCCTTCTCATTATCATTTGTTGAGGAGTAGATATCATGATTTAATGTAGAAATGTTAAGCATCAATTATTTTTTTTCTAAAGAACAAGTACTTGTTTTTTAAAAGTCACATAGAAAACATGAATGTTACTTTCCTAATCTTAGCGGTTATGTTGAGGACAATGCTCTTGTTTGTTGGCAATAAAAATGCACAAGAAAGTATTCACATGTGATAGGTATCAGATCAGTAATTTATTCTCAAATAGTTTAGGGACTTTTTTTTTTAACTAGCAAATTTTCCATTAATTTAAGAGTCTTTTAAAGTTTAAAGTACATTAAACATTTTTGTAATTTTATGGGAAAACATTACCCAGAATGTATATAGAAAATCCATCATTCAATAAGAAAAATAAATTTAACAATTAAAAAATAAGTAACAGATTAGAGCAGGCAATCATTGCACACACAAAGATTAAATAAATAGATGGAAAATACATAACCAAAATCTAACTCACTGCTGTCGTGTTGTACCAATTCTGACTCATAATTTCTGTATGTGTGTGGTGTATGTATACACACACTCAATTCAAACTCCTTGCCATAAAGTTGAAATGGACTCATAGATGACCTTGCAGTGTTTCCAGAGGCTATAAATCGCATGTGAGGACATTGCTCATCTTTTCCCCTAGTGATGGATTTGACCCTTTAGAGAGGTATCACCTTTGTGTTAGCAGTACAACTCCCTACCCACTAGACCACTAGAGCTTCCATATATGTATGTGTGTGTATACATATATACACATGCATATATTCAATAGAATAATTAGAAAAGCATGTGACATTAAAACCTTCAATAATTTTCAAATGAGTGCTTCCTCAAAAGAAAAATTTCATTATCAAAATACTAAGAAACTGAAGAACTGAATAAGAACACCAAAGAAGACATTCAGATAGCTAAGAAGCACATGAAGAAATGTTCAAAATCCCTAGCTCTAAGAGAGATGCAAATTAAAACAACTATGAGATACCATCTCACCCCAGTCAGAATTGTAAATACTGGCGAGGTTGTGGAGAAACTGGAACCCTTATTCACTGTTGGTGGGAGTGTAAAATGGTGCAACCACTGTGGAAGGCGGTATAGCGCTTTCTCAAAAAGTTGCAAATAGAGATACCATTTGACCCAGAAATTCCACTACTGGGAATATACCCCAAGGAGACCATAACGGACATCTAGGCAGATATATGCACACCATGTATATCGCGGCTTTATTCACAATAGCAAGGAGCTGGAAACAACCTAAGATCCCATCAAGAAACAAATGGATAGAGAAATGTGGTATATTCACACAATGGAATACTATGCTGCATTGAAAAACAAGAAACTCATGCAATATTATTCAAAATGGGTGACCCTGGAAGTTATTATGCTTAGTGAAATGTCTCAGTCACAAAAGGACAAATACTGCATGGTGCCACTGTTGCAAAACAGGACTAACCTTGGGGCTGGGGAGAGACTGAGTAAGATGGGTTCAATAATGTATACTATATTGAAACAGATGAGGGAGAAAGCTGCTTAAAAGGGATATGTGATTAGGTATTTTTGTCATGACAGGAGTCTAGAGCGAAGGCTACATGGTGGAGTGGACCTGGGGGAGGGTTTGTAAAACAATGAAAGAATTTTTCTTTTACTTTTCCAAGAGGGTAGTGCACTAGGGGGGAGGGTTGGGAGGGAAGGAAAGTGCAGCAATGAATGAATGGAAATCCAAAATCTCTGTAAATTTTTACTGAAATTAATAATAAATTTAAATTTAAAAAATCCCCCCCAAAAAAAAAATAAA